AGACGGTTATTGGCTATTACTTGCTGTCGGTTATAAAATAACCCGACGTTTGAAATTGTAATTACACTAAATCACTTTCTAACAAAACCCGTCTCGTTTAACAGGGAAAATAATATGAATGCGCCATATTTTACACTTAAACAGCCAACCCTGGGATCTCGTGTCTATCTTTTGCCGCTAAGCCTAGGGCGGTAAAGGCGGTTCACGTAAGATACCGCAGAGCGAGACGACCGTGTGGAGGGAAACATGAAAGATAGAGATAAAAAAACCTCCTTAAATTTTATATTCTATCCGCATTTTGTCGCCTAAGCGTTCCATTTAGTGTGCCATATTTAAACCTCGCGCTTTTTCTTTTTCTTGTCAGTCGAGCGAAGAATGTAACGCGATTTTCTATTTTTTTTTTTTACTTTAGGGCTGTAACCGCGCCGATGTGTGCGGAATACTGATGTGTGCGTACAACCGCCGAGGTTCAGTTAGGGAATGAAATTGGCATATAAATGTAAATTTTATGCTATGAATTTTAAAATGAAGTCGATACTTCCTCGCATACCGGTGCGCCCTTTCCGCAAGTTTTACGTTTGCGGGGATAAAATTAGATTAGAATTTGCTATTTTGGTAAAGAATGGTCTTTTAACGGCTCGCAGGGTCCTTGTGTAACGTTAAATTGTTTATGCAGCCAAAATAAACTAGAAAAGTAAAACCGTTACTAAATATCGAATTAAAATAAAATAGGAATATACATGTATAATGTGTATATTTAATTTTAAAAAAAAATTATGTTTTCAATAAATATGAAACTCCAAAATACCCCAAGTAAAGTTTAACGAAATAAGAAAATATTACAAGCGAACCCCATTTAAAATGTCTCCACGAACACGAAAGGGAAATAGAGAAATCAAAAAGAAAAAATCCACTTTACAGACGCAAACAACTCACTTAAACTTTATTGAGCTGTAATCGAATTGTGACGTCCCTGCACCGCGCTAGGGGCCCGAACGCTGGATCTATAGCTATCCTTATCTGACCCGACCATTTAAATCTATGCTATTCAATCTTGCCGTCTCGCTCGCGTCCCAGGGGTGCCGCCGATGGCAATCTTTTGATTTATACCAACTATTAGGAGTGGGTAGTCTGTCTTTGGTGCAGATCTGATAAACGTAGGATACAATCGACGTTAGTACTGATTATAGAAATAGATTTATTCTTAGCCCTCTCGGGAAATTTGTTTGATTTACCAATATCGTGATCTTTTGAGCTTTAGCGATTTTTTTTAAATATTTTAGTTCATATTTTAAAACTGTTGCTATTTTCATCAGGATATTCATAGAGTTTAATTTATTGAAGACCGTTGTAACGTCCTACAGTCACGTCACTTACTGTTCTATACTTAAAAATTGAATTTCAAATTTTTCCACCCGTTTCAACACTAAAACTGTTTTTAAACGTATAATAAATAGAACGATCAAATTAAAAAGTGTTATTATCTAACCATTTAAAGGCATTTAAAGGATGATATCAAATTCGTCTACAATTTCATTCGGCAAAGCTGAGGTAAAAACTCGTCCCTGAAGGCCGCTTATCCAGTATTCGGGGTAAAATAGCCCTTCATTTATATTGAACGGAACTAAGGCCTACATGCTTTGCAAAAGCAATTTTATCAATAGTTTATTATTGGTATAGAATTATCAAGTCTCAAAACACAACTGATAAATATTATTGTGCCTTGATACCAACATATGGAATTAAATTATAAGACAAATAAATAGAGAGTATTATATAGTAGAAGTATTAAAAAGCTCCTAATTTTTCCACATTTTAACAAAGCAATATTTTATTTCATAAATTAATAGTTGATGAAATCGGGGGCCTTTCTCATATAGATATATTAATATTACACATAGATACCTATCGGTACGTAGTAGGTACCTACTACGTTAATGCTTTATAACAAGCATACATATACATATGTACAGTGCTTTTTAAGGTCTTTTAAATACATGTGGAAGAGTTATTATTTACAGATGTTGTGAATAAAGAATTATATAAACAAACTATAAATAACTATATATATATATATATATATATATATATATATATATATATATATATATAATTATAGTTTAGATCCGTTTTTGCAGTCCAAAAATATTTTACCGGATAAAAGTTTTGAATGTAACACATAGTATATACCTACCTAATATGAATGAAATATCTGTCATAAAAGAATAAAAGCAATCAAAAATATTTTTTTAAGATCAAGAAAAATTCATGGCTTTTACTACCACAATATTTTTAATATTGTCCCAGCAAGATCCCTCGTTTTATTATTCATACTCAAATTTTACGGTTCACTTAACGGATCAATCTATACCGTAAACATTAGAAAGGCAAAGCGATTTAATGAAACCTTTTTGGCGACGGTTGCATCAGTTTTCTAATATTAGAAGCGTTATTTTATGTTATAAAAATATTGAACATATGGTGTTTATAAAAACAGTTTAAAAAATTGATTTTAGAAAATAATAAGATAATTATGCAAACTTAGGTTGTTTTAATTTATCAAACAACTTAGAATCGATTTACATTTTATAACTAGTATTAAAATCGATTATTATTAAAAATATTTTGTTGGATCTCATTTCATATTTTTTTAAATAATTCGAAAAAAGAACAATACCTGGCTAAAAATATTTTAACCATAATTTACAAGCAGCCAACAATCGTAAACATACAAACATTAGGTGTGAAACGAATGAAGATGTTGAGCGTAAAGCCTGACAATTGCTACTTTCGTCACAGACTAAAAATATTTAAGAACCAGTACAACTCGTAAAAGTTATCTTTAACTATTGTGTACTTAAAGTGCTTTTAAACACAGTAGTAAATAGTTAAATACTAATGCTTAACTGTCACGGCACTACCGCGCTAGTATTTAATTGGATTAGTCATCTATACATATTACATATAATATTATAATAAAATTCTAACTGAGTCGAATCTGTACATCAGAGATTATCTGATACAGAGGCCGAATTTACTTTTTAGAATTTTTGTCTGTCTGTCTGTCTGAGAACGCATCAAAAGAAAATCACTGGGCAGATTTTGATGGAACTTTATATGATGATGGTTGGTTATCTGTGTCAACCGGGTTGTAGGATACTTTTTACTGCGGGAACATGTCTCCGGTCTGAGAAATCTATGTATACTAAACGTTAAAACGTATCTAGAGAAGAACCTGAGCGGAGCGAAGTTGAGTCGCTAGTTACCTAATAAGACTAGTAACTAATATATCCATATTAATATTATAAATGTGAAAGTGTGTTTGTTTGTTTGTTTGTCCTTCTTTCACATCGAAACGGAGTGACGGAATGGCGTGATTTTTTGTGTGGAAATAGTTGGAGAGCTGGAGAGTGACAGGCTACTTACTGCGGGAGATTATCTAATTCCCACGAGAAAACACATTATAATACACTCCAAAAAATATTTATGATCAGAATTACTTGAAACTTAGTATTAATGCTCTTAAATAAAATTAAATAAATACGTGTTTTAGCATTTTTCGAAATTCATCGTATAAGGGGGTTAAATAGGAGATGAAAGTTTGTATGAAACTACCTTCTTAGAGATTTTTTGCAGTTTTAGCGCGAACGAAGCCGCGGGTTCAGCTAGTAAATAAATATATATTAGTTACTATAGTCTTTGCTTGCAGCTTGCATGTAAGCAGTTCAATGATAGTGATATCATACATTAATTTGTAAGTAAATAATAAAATGAGAAGCATTAATGTACATAAATTAAGTTTCAGAAGCTATCTCCATTCTGGTTTTTACTAAAATTTGTTGAGTAATAATCTTGACCGTCAGTTCACAAAAACATGTGAAAGCTTGATATGTCATTCATAAAGATATTACATTATAAAGGCTATAACGTAATATTTTTGTAAGCCTCTTATATAGTATCATTAACAGTGTAAAATATTTATTTATTGATGAATATTGATATATATATATATATATATATATATATATATATATATATATATATATATATATATATGTACCTATAAACTATTTAATTGAAACCAAAAACCTTGAAATCGTTGTGAGATTTGTAATTATAATATTGCTATTTCACATTCGTTTTATATGGATATAAGCGCGAGACCGAAATACAACGATAAAAATATTTGTCTGTAGGTATGTTGTGTATGGTGTAATCTCTGTAAACTGATTTTAACAAGATTTTCAGTGACTGGGACGAGTTCAGAGAAATATGTAAGCTATTTATATCATGAATGGAAAGCCTCCCGCAGGATAAGAGATAGATTTTTTTAAGTTCTTGATACATGATGTAAGTCTGTTACTACTTTACTTTGAAACGGCTGGATAGATTTTGGTGAAATTTAGTACACAGATACAGCTTGGAGTAACACTTTCATTACTAATGCTTGAAATGCACACGTGCGTGGGAAGGGTAAGCCGCTGTACTATTTTCATTGTAGCATGGTACTAGTGATAATAAGCAAACCGTTTCTTTTCACTAATAAATGTTCCTATTCAATTTACAAACATGGCGTAATATTTGTACTCTAATATAAATAGGTACTATGAGCGTAAGTTTTTAAATCATTGTTAGCTATAGTGAGTCAAAGAATTTTAATCTATACCTACCTAATGTGTTATTATTTTTAAATACATTCAAAATATAAAAACACAGTGTGGGACATTATATTTTGTACGATGGATGGTCGATATTTATTATAAACAAAGTATTTTTTAACGTTATAATTTTTTTAAATAACAATTTAAGAACATAAAATTAAATTACGTATTAACGTTCTATGGAACTGATGCAGATATATTTTGTTTATCTGTGTTTTTTGTCATATGATTAATGGATGAGAGAGAGAGAGAGAGTTATATTTAATTGACGATATTTTAATATTTCTCTGAGATAACATGAAAATACTATCTATAATTAGCAACATATTAAAAACTCACCGCAACTCTGCTCTCTTTAAGATCCAGTCTCATTGCAAGTGCCTCCCGCATAAATACGTCTGGGTAATGTGACGCTAAGAACGCTCTTTCTAGCTCTTCTAGCTGCCATGAATTGAAATTTGTTCGTGAACGTCTTCGCTTTCCACTGTCTCCATCATCATCACCAAGGCCACCTGGAACAGTATTATAGTTTAACGGCTAATGAAATGAATACACATACATATACGAATGATACCCAATAGATATACTAAGGAATAGTTCTTTGCATTTACATCTTTGTTTATATTAAATAACACATTTGTTTTTCGTATAAAAAATCTATATAAAATTGATTCAGTAATTAACAAAATTACCGTGTAAAGAGATTGGTTTATAAATGAGAATCCTCCATTGTCTTAATACTTTTTAGTAGCTTTACGCTACGGCGAAGCCTAAAGAGGGTTATGTTTGACTTGTATGTGCATATGTACCTATGTTCGATGCTGTGTTGCCTCGTAATTGTTACACGGCTGAATCGATTTTGATAATCAATACGGTGTTAGATTCGGTTTGATAATGCGAATGTCAAATTCTACTTATATACCTATGGTTAGGTATTACAAAAAACAAAAATGGCGGATTTGAGGCTCTAATATGTGTTTTGCAAAAAAAAAATCGTTCATACCTATCGAGTGGGGTATCAAAATGTAGCCAAAAGGCGATTACAAAAATATATATAACTAAAAATAATATAAGTAACGTCGTTAATAAAATGTATGTAAAGAAGTTTTTCAGTATCATATTTTTAGCGTTATCCTCAATAAAGGATAATGTTAATTCTACAAAGCGTTATAGAATTTCTATATGGTCTAAGAAGGCTATTTTCGATACGTGGTCTGCACAAGTGTAGCAAATTTCACTTCATGAGTGCTATTATGTTGTCATTACGTTAGACTCTAGAGTTGTGTAAAAGCATGAAGTTATTTTAATTCAATTTCTCAATGGTTTTTATTTCCTGTAAATAAATCTTAATGTTTGACTTTGTTAGCTATCATCTCATTGTTTAAAGTTATACTAAATGATGATGACGTAGACGAAATTATAGCAATTTAGACACAAACAACTGACACAACGACAGTCTGCAATTTTAACATGATTTTCCAAAATACAATCGTCGCATTTAAAATTTATCCTCTTTCACTGAAAGGTCAACTCATTCATTATAAGTCGAAAGTTCAAATGTCTTTTAGAAATTTCTAACTTAAAATCCTTTCATATTTCGCAATACACCCGCTTATCTTATATAAGTAAAACTATTAGAGCGTTTAATATAAAGTGCACACACCTTTATTGAAAGCTATAAAGAAGTTAAGTGCGATAAGGCCTACAGCGTTCATAAAGCGAAAATGTTTCCAATCATCGCGGCGCAGGATTGAAATGAATAAGACATAATCATAAAGACACCGGCTCCAACATTGTCCATTTAGACAATCCTTCGGCCGTTAAAATAAACCCGCGACCGGGGGCTCATAAAAAAGAGATAATCTCCAACAAAGCGTCAGACCAAGTTTCTGAAAATAGAATATAATTTCTAATTTTCTCTCGGTGATTTTAATTAAAAATGGTCCCAAGAGAAGGACGGCTGCAACGCTTCCAGAGGGTTGGAAAGGGACGAACGTCAATTACTAACTCTGTCTTTAAATCTAAATAAATTACAAGTGATTAAGAGAAACACGCTTCTGTTACACTGAACACGTTATATCGTACCTTTTAATTTATTGAGTATTTTTTTGATTGCCGATGAACTTATAAAGCCAATTAGGAAAAATAATTTCAAGTTGGAAATCCTTGCGGTAGTAACTCTTCGTGCATGATAGTTGCCAACTAGATCAATGAGTCATGTAGTCGCCTTAGAGAAAAGCTAATTTAGGTGGGTGGGAGAAGGACAGAGCTATGTGCCTAATGAGGGGAGTGAAAGAGATGACTACTCTTATTGTATTAAAACAAACGACCGCCTTGGGCCCGGAGAGAACAGTTTTGGCGCGCTTTAATTTAGTCTGCTTCAATGTTTTAATGTCATTCGGGAGGGCGGAGGGGGAGTCCCACTAAGTATCTATTTGAGGGTTGTATAACGCGGTTAATAAATTCGTACAGTTAATAATTCTACTTTGTTCGCTGTTTCGTCATAAATAATGGCAGAGATAGCAAATGTTTGGGTGTTTAGTGTTGGGAATATTATTTGTATAATTAGTCTGATTAGGCATTTTGCTTTTAAGTGGTAGCGTTTTTATAAGTTAAGCAGCCTCAAAGGGCTTCTTGATATCCCTAAATTAAAAAAAAATTAAACAAGCGTAAAAAATTATAATGCGGAGATTACCTAGATAATAAAAAAATATAAAGACAAATAGTAACGGAATAAAAATCCTACATGAAAACAGTTACATTCGGCGTGTAATAGAAAAATATTGTCATCAGACAACGGTCATAAAGATAGCATCACGTCAAATAAGCAATAAATTCATATCAAACAATAGCCAGAAGATATAATAAAAGATAAATTATTCCCCCTCACTGTCCACTTAACACTTTCCGGGACAGACCGCCTCTCGACGTTAAATTGGCATCGTGTTATGTGACAGTACGGCTATGGGCGGCTACTTTTATTTTATTATATCTGACAAAGCGTCGATGGCCGTTGGTTATCCCTATCATTACTAGGAAGCACGTGATCTAGTGTCATATCACATGCCTCCGTTCGGGGATAGCTGTCACGGTAAACTCTATTCGAGTACTTTTTCCACACGCATATACGCAGTGGTTTCACACCCAACAAATACAGGTACACCGTCGAGAGGCGTAAATTCAGTCATACAAGTACAGTGATTTCGGAATTCAGTGTCACAGCGCGCGCACTGCCAGTTAATCTTTGCTATGTTGTACGTGTTTAGTGATTTTTGTCAACAAATGCAAGGTAAATAAAGTTTATTTATACTATAATATGATATAAATCTGATGGAAAATGTGTTGTGTTGTCCTATAGTGTTGTTTTTATTTAGGTAGGGATAGAAATATGTTATACAAGTGACAATAAAAGACTTTATTCGAATGATATTTAACTGCTATTTTAGCTACCTACTAACTGTTTGTATTATAAGTATTTACGTATTATATTTTGCAGATGTCGTCCAAGCCGGTTGGATGATTCTAGTTTGAATGATGACAACCCGGTAACAGAAGAGGAAATAGGTGAAAAGTCTTGCGATGACCAAGCTGTGATAGTATACCGTGAAGAAGAGGATGTAATGGGCTCTCAGGAACCTCGCCTACATTCCCATGCCTATGAATCATCTTATCTTCACCATCGAACCGAACAGATATACCCAAATCTCTCCTCTATATCTCCACGAATTGATCGTGCCGATCAAATGATCTCTTACTATTCGTGTCCGAGAAAAAGAATAAGATGGTACAAAAAAGTACTCTTTCACATGTTAGATGTTGTGCCATGGAACTCTTTCTTTTTATTCAAAAAATGAATAAAGAATAGTGACAAAAAATACGGATATGTAGAGAACAGATACAGGTTGATAAGAAGTCTTACGAAACTTGATGATATACATATAATGTTTCGAAAAATGGCACTTAACTCTTAGTTCTAACACACACAAATAGTTTCTCCTGTTTTCAAATATATTTCTTTACTTTATACTAAATAAGACTAAACAAGAATTTAATCAATTAAGTCAATAAACTTATAAGTATTAAATTTGTAGGTTTTTTTTAGAAGTTTACACACTAATACACCTTTTCAGATCTATATGATATGAAACATCGTCTTTTGGCGGCGCCGTCCCTAGCCGAACTGTCATAGTACATTGTACATAACTATTCATAATATGACGGTCCGCCTATAGGCGTTAACGTCTATGACCGTAATTGCCTTATCGCAAAACTAAAAAATAATGTAAATTGGCAATACGGCAATGGACGATATGTTCGAATGTATGGAAATTTTGAATGTCATATCGTGAGACTAAAAAAAATTTAAGTGTCCCGGAACGTGTTAATAGAAATAAATTATAGAATCGACTTTATTGAATATAAATAGTCATGAGTCTACCAAGAGTTGTCAATCGATTTGCCAGCGAGTAATTAAAGTTTAAGATCTTATTTTTAAGATGAATTCAAAGTGATAACAAGCTTGCAATTTGCAGGAAGTCTATATAATATGACTTAGCTTTTTAAACTGAGCAGTACCCGCGGCTTCGCCCGCGTTCAACATTTCAATATAAACATCACTTTTACAATAATATATGGATCTCTGCCCGATTTGTTTGACATTTATGATTACTGCTCCACTCTCTTGGGTAGCAGCATGATGGTATTATAGCCTATAGGAAGGCTATAGCCTTCCTTCGTCCCACCAGAGTATGAGAGTGACAGGAATAAAGAGTGCACTTGTGTCTGCGCGTACACTTGTGTACTATAATATCTCCTGCGCAGTTGGCTAGTCTCAATGAGATTGGCCGCCGTGGCCGGAACCGGTCAGGGGAACATTATAGCCTTATTTAATAAACGGGCTATCTAATGCAAAAAGAATTTTTCAAATCGGATTAGTGCTTTCTGAGATTAGCGCGTTGATTGATGTCGATATTTAGGGCTACTAGCACCATATTTTGAAATGGATTTTAATGCTTATAATAGGTTTATCAAACGTCACAGATGACACATGACTTTAAATTTTAATTTAGAGTAAATTGAAAATTGACACAGATAATATAGAAAATATAAACTAACTTTCTTTTTAAATAGGTATATTGTAAAATTTGGACCTATTTGAATCGGGATAGAGATACAATTGTTAGATTTACTATGACTGTGCTAATGTCACCAGAATATGTACATAACAACTCTAATGATGAACAATGTAATATAACCTTAATACGCCAGTATTCGTAGTAACGAAATTTTACGACAGCTTATTGTACAGATATAGATCTTTTCTATGAATAAAATAAAAATATTAGGTCGTTATGTCGCTAAGAGCATTTTCAAGCTCTTACGAGGATGTAGCGTGGTTATTACTTAGTAAAAAAGAAACGGTAAGGTGAAATCGTATTTATTTTTTATAACATTTATTGTAATGTTCATAATAAAATATTTGTTTATTTTAATATTGAATATAAAATAGGAT